TTGCTGACGGTGCGGAGAAGGCGGCAAAATAGCCATTTTATTCTTGCACTGTAAAAAAGATGAAAAGCTCCTTTAAAAGATGTTTGTCTTATGTTTCAGTGCATAATGACATACATAAGGGAAAGGTTTTCTGACCTATCTCTTCTCTTAAGTACTCTCTTTTACACTTTGTCCAGTTCTAAGAACCACTCAACACAGGGTATCACCCAAAGTGCAGGAAGACAGCACTTAATGGCATTGTACCAGACAGGGAGGGGAGCCCTTTTAAACACAGAATGCAGAGAAACTGGATTTTTGTGGCATCCCTCAGGTCAGAAAAGGGATTTACAAGTACCTCCAGGATATCTATTTATCTAAGTACTTATTAGGCCCCCATTACCACAATATCTGAGTGCTTCACAGTCTTTAATGTATTTATCCTCATAACACCCCAGTGTGGTAAGGAAGTGCTATTATCCACATGTGACAGATGGGGAACTGAGGTACAGAGAGACTACACAACTTGCCCAAGTTCACACAAGGAGTCTGTGGCAGAGAAGGAAATTAATTTCTGGGTCTTCCACAACCCAAGGACATTTACTAGCAACTGGACCATCCTTTTTGTCCATCAGCTCTGCAGGCTGATAGAGAAAACACAAACTGCAGAGTTGACTGTCATAGTTCAGAGTAACTACACCTTTTATTCTCCCTCCATGGTTCAGCAAGGACACCCACTCTAGGCTTCCAGCTCCTAAGCTGTCATCTCTCTTGTGTGGAGACACACGTCTCTCTTACTCCTGACTGGGGAATTTCCAGGCTGCACGGTTCCCTCCCTATACTGTGAATTCCCCAGCAAAGTCAGACTGCCTAAGCAGGCCTGCTTTGCTTTACTCCTCAGAGACAGTAAACAGGTGGGTTACCACATAGCTCTTTCATTCTTAAGGTGAAAGCGTTACAGAGAAAACATATTAAAAACAATAAAAGAACTGACATGGGGGTTAATAAGCTTACCAGGGATCACCCCCTCACTCCAACAAGGGCTCTCAATGGTTATCCCCACCAAAGAGTTTTTTGGTAAGTTCATTATAGCTATTAGTTCATAACGAGCACCCTCAGCCTTATGGGAACTCGGTAGGCCAAATCCTTCCAACCCTTCCCTAAGGATTGGGGCCCTCTTGGACAGAAGGCCCCGTCCGTTTGCAGGATCAGAAAGAAGGCCCCACGTCAGTTTTATCTCAGGCTATTTAACCAAAATTCCTTTCTTTGTTTGTTGGTCCTTGGAGAATCCAGTATGAACCAGTATATCTGAGCCTCTCTCCAGGTGCGGGTAGCTCTCTGGAGGTGTTACAACCTGAGTGAATCTGACCAACCACCCCCCTCACTGTTCTTAGTTCCTGGAAGTCTGTGGTCCCCCCTCCCCCAAGGGATTATATACAATCCCTGGCCAACAATGATACATCAACTTTTTCAATAAGGTTTGTCCAGGATAGCATCATATCTGTCACAGTGGCATGCTTGATCTGCCAATAGATGGTTAGGACACAGGAGAAACTGGCAACTACACTACTCTCTGGGTCTACCAGAGGCTTGAGCCCTGGCATGACATTAATTCTAGTGGTGGGGGACACCAGGCCTTCTACCCTCCTCACTGATGGGTGGCCAGCAATGCCATAATAGCAGCTGGCAACAGAAAGGTGGAAGTTAGGGGGAATATTATGAGTATTAGATGGCAGGGATATGTTTGGATGCCTAGGACAAAAGTCTTGGAGGGAGGAATGTGTTTTTGGAGAAAGGATTTTGGACCTCACAGTACAAAATTAAGTTTTATTACATAGTGCTTCCATATTATTGGGGTGGGGATAGAGGCTCAGAGAGGGAGAGCAAATCAAGGTTTACAGTAGATTGAAATGGTAGAGGGAGCTCTCCACACCAGCCAGAGAGATGGGGACTCTCCCTAGACTTTCAACAGCACCAAACGCAGAGGTGAGGGAGCTCTCCCTATACTTGTAGTGGACAGGAAGCTGCATTCCACTCCTTCCCCTTCCCCACTCTTACTCCCGTCACTTCAGTTCCTGGAGCAAATCCTCTCCCTGTCACCTGTCTGAAGCCCATTTGCTCACCAAACACTTGGGACTGATTTACAACACTGAAGGAAATTACTGCCCTAATTGTCCTGGCGCTATTGGCTGTTACTGCCTTAAGAGTACTCTTAAAAATTAAAATAGAGGCATTATTATAGAAAGGCATAAAACACTCTGTCTAAATCCAGGGAGCCCATTTCATATTAATCAAGGACATTCCTTTTCATTTCTATCTTCTCCCTTCAAATGCAGAATATATTTGAGCCTATTCCAGTACAGCAAGAAGGCAAAACCAATCCCTAGGGCAAATTATGCTCTCAGTAATACCCATGCCACACTATTGAACCCCACTGGTTTGCTAGGAGTGTAAATGAAAGCAGAAAATAGCCCTATTAATTTGTCTGTTAAGGCTAGAACTGGGCTCTAACTGTGTTTTGCTAAGAGTCATTAGACTACGCTATGGGAATAGTTCTGCTCAGTGGCTGTGACTTGAAAACTGTACCAGATCTTCCTGTTGCCTTCAGAAATAACTGTATGAAGGGGGAGTGGGGTAGGGGAAGATCATCAGCTATTGAATCTCAGCCAAGTGCTAAAGATTAAAAGCAAAGATAGACCCAAACCATAATCTGGATCTGAATGTCACAACTAGCCCCTATTTCTATTATGGACTGAACTAAAATGCCCAATTCAAGCTACCCTACCTACGTTTGGAGGAAAGTCCAGCTTTGGATCTAAGATACAATATTTGGATCTATCTTTAGTTAATAGAAGAGGAGCCAGCAGAAATTATTTACCCTTAATCCCGCATCCCATTTCAATCCTATTACCCAAGGTCCAGAAAGATTAGTTATCTCTGTATACAGCACTGGCGAGACCATTACTGGAATACCATGTCCAGTTCTGTTGTCCTCACTTTAAAAAGGATGTTAAAAAATCTGGAAAGGTTTCAGAAAAGAGGTACAAGAATAATCTGAAGTTTGGAAACCATGCATTATAGTGACAGAGTTCAGAAGCTCAATTTATATATATACTTTAACCAAGAAAAGGTTAAGGGGTAACTCATCGTGGTCTAAAAGTAACTACATGGGGAAGAGACTTCTGATAGTATCTAGCAAAAGAAAAAGTATAATGAGATTCAATAGTTGGAAGTAGAAGCTACACAAATTCAGACTAGAATAGGGCACACATTTTTAACAGTGAGAGTAATTAGTCACTGGAACAATTTACTGAGAAATATGGTGGATTCTCTAACACTTAAAGTCTTTACATCAAAACTGGATGTCTTTCTAAAAGATGTGCTATAGCTCAAATAAAAAATTATGGGCTAGCTGCAGAAATCATGAGGTGACATGCTGTGGTTTAAGTTATGCTGGAGGTTAGTCTATATGTTCACAATGGTCCGTTGCAGTCTTCATATCTATGAATTAATCTCAAAAGATCAAGGAAGTTCAGCAATATAGTACATAAATCAATAATAACTATATGTTGAGAGTCAAAACTCTGGGTTCCAATGTGGTGAACAAGGAAGACTATGTGTTCCCTGAATCCATGGAGTTTGCAATCTATATGAAAAATTGGTGTGGTAGAAGAATCTTCCAAATAAATTTATTGAATAATCTGTAATGGTTTTTCTCCACGACAAATCAGACAGGTATAGAAATGCAAGGTACTAATGGTAGGGATGCCCTGTGGATTTCAAACACACTTCCCAATCAAAGTTGGGTCAAAAATTTCCTATCAGAAGGAAACCTTCATGCCAGCTGAATGGGAGTGAATTTGAGTGACAGTTCACACATTCTTTCCAGCAAGCTAATCACATGGTATTACCCGCGTTGAATGGCAGCAGAAGAAGAAGCAACAGGCAAAAACAGGTTTCACAGTAGCAGCAAAAACAGATGCATTGTAGATGCAATAGGAATAGGTGATGTGAATTAAGGGCAAGTTTAGGACATAATACCTGGTGTGAACATGGGACAAAGAGGGGGGTAGACCAGGACCCTAGAAGCACTGAAATACTGGGTTCTGTCCCTGGGATGAGGAAAGGAGTGTGCCTGAAGGATAATTTAGGGCAGGGATTCAAATGCTTTATGATAATGGGGATGTTTTTTAAGAAAAAATGTGTCTCATGAACTATCTCCCCTCCAAAATCTCAATTCCATTTGTCATTCCCACTCCACATCAATCCAGCGGCAACTAGAATACAGTGTTACTATCTGTCTTGCCGAAGCACCTAAGGACGTGGTGTTTAACAAATGAATAATTGTATGTAAACAAGAAAAATTCCACTGGCTCCTTTTTCACTCTGTTTCACCTATCACTGCCCTGCCCCGCAACCAGCAAGTTACCTCAGTGAGATGAGGCTCTGGCCCCACCATCTGCTCCAGTTTTGGTCCCAATGTTAGCCTCTCTTTGTGGACGTAAAGCACCCTGGCAAGCATCGTGCTATGCTCACTCCTCCGGCTTTACAGCTGCAGGTGTTCACACTCTGCAGTGAAGAGCCTGACTGTGACCAGTAAACACACTGAGGACCATCATCAGCTCAAAAACACTCACCGACCAGAGTTGGAGAAGTGTTGACATAGAACCAAAGTACATCACCAAGTGATCCAACCCTGAGAGATTCATCCCACCCAAGGTGATCTTGCTGAGTCAAATTTATCCCTGGGGTAACTCTACTGAAGTGAAAGTCATGGTTGAATTCAGTCCTATGCATTTTTCCTGCCACATGAAATGAACACATAATGTGGGGAACAGCACGTTTTCACTGTGTTTCTGAGTAATTTCCTTTCTTAAAAAAAAAAAAGTGTTTTAAAAGACAAACAGCTAGTGCTTTCTCAATGTCTAGCTATGGAGTTCCCCCATCCCATTCTACAGATTAACCACTTCCTCCTCCCCGTTCCCTCTTCAATCCAAGAGGTGAGCCACCACTCAAACACTCACGCAGGTGTGCCGGCAGTCTGATCGCGTCTTCCTCCATCCTGATCGCTCGAGGCACTGGGACATGTAGTGGTGATGAGGAAGGGTAGTTCACTACTGGGCTCGCTGGAGGTGTGTAGGAAATTCTTTCCTGCTATTAAAAATAAGAAGGCGAGAGAGAGAGAGAGAGAGAGAGAGAGAGGGGACAATGTGAACTTTGGAACAGAGGTGTGAAACTAAAACAGGGGACAGGAGGGGGAAGTGGGTGGAAGGAAGGAAGTGTGTATGAGTGGTGGGGGCGAATAGCATTTATTATGCACCAGACTGGCTAGGGAACCACACAGAGTGCAATTGGTCCACTTGCTCTATAGCTCTGCAGGCGTGACATTCAAATCCCTGGAAGTTCCAACCCTACAAATTGCAGCCAGGGACTAGAGAGAGTTTTCAAGGTGATGGTTTTCATCTTGCTAAAGCCTAATAAGTTTCCCTGGGTTTTCTCAGAAGTTTTCTGAAGGGGGAAAGGGGAAATAACAGAGGTGAAGAGATGGGGAGGATTTTCAAGTCAATGTAAATCTGATAGTGGGGTGTATATATATATATATGTGTGTGTGTGTATTTTATACACACACTGTTCTACAGTAAATGCCCAAAGCACTACATCTCATAACAGCATCCGGGCATAATTATTAAATATTTAGCACTTTAAATCTTCAGACCATTTTACCAAAATTGAGTAATTAGTTGATTTACTGTAGTATTTACATTGCTATAGAGAACCATATTATACTGCTGTTCACTTCTGTATTTACTTCAGAGGACTGCAGTAGTTTTTCTTAACAAAAAATAAATCAGCATAATAAAAGGAGCCATTTCCACTTTCTTCAACATACAGTAACATTTATCTCACTATTGCACAAGACTCACAGTTAAACAAGATGTTTCGTATTATTATTACTACTCAATATGTATCAGTATTATGGTAGCGCTTAAAGGTCCCGCTAAGATCAAGGCCCCATTGCACTAGGTACTCCATACACACGCACACGTACAGAGTAAGACATGGCCCTGTGCTGAACAGAAAGTCCTGCATTGCGATTCATGCAGGCAGACTATAGTGCCTTCACAGAGCCCCATTAAAATCCATGCAGACAGAGCAGGCTGCCCATATGGATCACACAGCCGGATCAGGTCTAAAAATAGACAAGATAGACACAGAGCAGGAGACAGGGATATAACATACAAGCAGAGTTATCAGATGGATGATTTGCAAAAGTCATGTTAATTCCGCAGTCTTTTGTTCGTTCAGTTTTATTCCCTAACAAATTTGTCCAGAAACCTAAGATCAAAATTTGATCTGATCTGGTGGGAAATTTCCTCCATATTCTAAACATGTACTGTAATCACAACTCAAATTATACCCTTTGTAAATAAAGTAAGCCACAATATTTGCAGGAGCACAGAAATCATTGGTGTACACTCCCCTGCTGGTTCAGCGTGCTACTTCCCAGAGCTGTGCTGAGTGGTGGCATTTTTGATGATGGTAGTATAACTAGCACGGATGTGAACAAAAGGAGCTATGCTCATTCATTTCATAATTTCAGTGGGGATGAAGTAAAAGCTATCACCACCAAGCCCCTCCCTCACCACAGTGTCTGTCTAATGGAAAAGAACAAACCTACTGGCAAGAAAAATAAAGTTATTTCCTTTACAAACAATAGCATGCCATGGAACCAGAATGACAGCCTTACGCTCATCTGCGGAACGGAACGCTGGCCCTATAACCAATCTAAACAGGGAACGTGAAAGTCCTTCTTACTCCTGACAACATGATTCAAATAGAAATTAAAGCTATGAAAGGAGAAAATTCCAAGGGGCACTAGACAACCACGGGAATTGAGAGTAGGGCCTTTCACCTTCTAGCCATGGCTTCAAACCAAGTTCAGGGCAATCTGACCTAGATCGGTTAGCTGCTCAGTGGTCCACATGAAATGCATGGTTAATCTCAGTTCAGATTCCCCATAAACAAAAATCAACATTCTAAAAACCACCATTACAATTAACATTCTTTAGCATCTTTGCTGATGGACTCAGCAGAAAGGCCAAGGACCGAGCATACACAGAGAATGAATGACCCCTACAGGCAATGTAATTTCTCTTCTGGATTTAGACATATTGGTAGAGCAATGTGGAGAAGGTTCTATTGAAAAACCCCAGGCTTATCTCTGTTCTGTGGAGAAGTGCCATCTCCAGGGTTTTCATGACAGCATCTTTTACCAACATTAAATTCACACCGGATTTTTAGTTAAAAAGCTGGGACATTCTTCCCTGGGGATATCTGACATGGTGAAAAAGCTGGTGGACAAAGCTGGATGTGGAGTTTGACCGTTCAGCTTTGGTATTCACACCCCAACCAAAGATGGCTGATTCAGTGCTTCACATTCCAATGAGGTCCCCGCCATAGTACTCGGGGGAAGTTCTGCTCTTTCACTGGCACTTGGCGCCCCCTCAGAGTTGGCGCATGCATAACAAATGGTAGAAAATGAGACCAACCACTTCCTAGCATTCCCTGCTGTGATCCACTGTTCTGAACTGCATTCCAGATTGCCATTTTATTCATGCAAAAAGCTATTTATAAAGGAGAGGAACCCTGCTGAAATAGGGCCAAAACGATGCCTGTCTCTGCACGGATGCGTTAGTGCTGTGGCTTTTAACCTGTGGTCTGAGGGCCCTGGGGGTCCACAGACTGTGTCTAAGATTTCCAGAGGGGTCTGCACCTCCATTAGAAATTTTTTAGGCGTCTGCAAATGAAAAAAGGTTGAAACCCAGTGCTCTAGAACCGTGGTTCACAAAGTGGGGTCCTCAGACACCTGGAGGCCAGCTGTGGGTTATGAGGAGGGTCCATCCCTTGAGACAGGGCCAGGATGTGCCAGAACCTCATTCTGGAACTTTTGCCACATGAAGGACACCATCTTGCTCTCAAATTAGCGCCCTCTGCACAGCATGATCTCACATGCACCGTGTGTGAGGTCACGTTGGCAGGGGCGTTCCTAGGCTGGCGAGGGCCTTCTGGTAGTACAGAAATGAAAGGGATCTGTGACCCTTAGTAAGATGCCAAAGAAGTTCTTGGGTGGGGGGTGGAGGGGAGGAGTTTGGAAACTACTGCTCTAGAGGAAAGAGAGGCAACAAGAAGTCCCTTCCCACCTGTAATGCAGGGGTGGGGATCCTGTCTTGCAAGTGATGCTAGCATCTCAAGCCTCACTTCAGCTAGGTACTGAGGCACACGTTTAAACACCTTACTGCATCAGGGCTTCAGAGAGGAACACTAGGAGCCACAAAGGCCTCTCCCACTGGACATCACGGGAGGCATGTACTGGCTATGTCTGTAGCAGGCAGGACTCACTCCTCACTGCATTTTCCTCAGCACCCAGGAGGTGCTGTGCTATATGAAGCCATAATGCCTCAAACCACCACCCCCTTCTTCTCCAGACATCTCCACCTCTTAGAGGTATAATTTAGCCTATGGTGCTTTAAACAATATTTATACCAAAAAGGGCAGTTTCATAGAGATTGCTAAGTAAATGCATCTGATCCACCGTTTTTTAACATCCTATATTCAGGACAGGTAGAAAAGACACCAAAATTGTTATGAAAAAAAATGTGGGCATGATCATTTTGTCACAGTCAATATTTCCATTACAGGTCAGACTACAATAGCAGGTTGTGAAACAGCCAAAATTGCAGGGGAGATTTTCAAATGCTCAGGTGGGAAGTAGGCTCCCAACTCTCATTTGTGGCTTTGAAAATCTCCTCCCATAGTAATACTATGCCCTGCTACGGCATCCTTAAGCCAAAGATTAAAGAGACTTTGAAGACATTAGGTAAACCCATTTTACAGCTGGGTCTCCTGAGTTATAGAAAGACTAAGGCCCAAATTAGCTAAGCAATTTCAGAGCTAAGTTTTCTTAAAAAAAGAACAGCAAGTGCATCCTAAAGTGGAACAGACTTAGCAAATGCATCCTGAAAATGAAGCCCTCCCTAAACACTGCACAGTTACTACTGGACAGATTTCCAAAAGTGCTGAGCAAGTCAGCAGCAGATAGAGTTGCTCGGCTCCTTTGAAAATGAGGCTATAAGTGATTTGGCCAAGTTCACCCAGCGAGTCAGCAACAGAGTGGGAAAGGAGCAAGTATCATTCTAGTTCTGTGACCTACCCTAATCCTGGGCGTCAGCCGCTGCGCAACACTCTGGTTAAATAAAAATGTGAATGCAGAGGGTCATATTTGATTGCTGAATTGGTTTTTGAGCCACACTTTCAGGATGTGTTTGTTAAGTCCATCCCATTTTAGGATGCATTTAAAATCTTCACATCTCCAAAATTACTTAACTTTCCTTTATGGGATCTATAAAACAAAACATACTATGAAAATTAGGTAGGTGTCATCATTTTAAGGTTATGCAGCCAGATCCTCAGCTGGTATAAATTGGTGTAGCTCCTCTGAACTCAATGGATTTACAGTGATTTACACCAGCTGAAGAGCTGGTCTGTGACAGTTTGAAAGGGGCAGATGCTATAGTTAGGGGGAAATAAATAGTTTTGTAATCAATGAATTTCATATTTCCCTTTGCAGTAAAGCCTATAGTGGGTGGGGATGTGGGGTAGTGGTTAGAGGACCAGATTGGGAGTCAGAAGGCATGGTTCTGTTATCCAGTTATGCCACTGACTTGCTGCATGAACTTGGGCAAATTCCATCAATTCTATGCAGCTCCATTAATTAATGTTTGTAAGGGAAGATTGCTAGTGAAGAGTGCTATAAAAGAGCAAAGTGCTATTACATTCCAGATTCACAAGCTGCTGTAATAGACTGGGAATACCAAATCCCACAAGTGACAAAATGATCAGCCTCAAATAATTGCAATCTACAAACAATTTCAAAATCACAGTTCCATAATATTTTGCCTGCAGCCATATACTCATGAGGAGGATGCACAGGTTGGCACAATTCCTGCTGTCTTGGCTTTTGGAAGGCTTCCCTTCAGCTCACAGTGAGCTAGGAAAGTTTCCAGGGAAACCTCACACCGATTAGAATACATTAATTCTTTAATGAAGACCCTTCAGGGATACCCCATCTCTGGGGTTTATTCCACTGTCCCCCA